CCTATCCAAGCAAATTGCATGATATTTATAACATTAGTTTTTTTTTAAAAAGGCTTTTATTCGTGATAGAGATGGAACACTCTACTAAATTACCCAAAATAAAATTACCTTCTAATTATTTCTTAGAAACTATTGATCAAAACAGTACATAGGCAGATAGACGGGCTCAACATTTTTCATTTTTGTGTGTGTGTGTGCACGTATTCGGCTGTTCGGGAAGTTGCCATGACAGAAACAGTGACATTCCAGTTAAAGTTTGAAGGGAGTAAAGCCTATGTTTATGCTATTAAGAAAGTGTAGGCTAATCTGGCCAAATAATATATTTTTTTTAATAAATAAATGTTCATTTAAAAGCACCTTACGATCAGCGTATTATTTTACCGTTACCCCCTTACGGCTCCGATGAGGTTTTGTTTCCGTCCTCCATGCGGTGCCAACTCATGCCAGGAGCGAAGCAACTGGATTCACAAGACCACAAGATTTGCCTGTCCAGCTGTGTTTTGGGTTTTTCCTTGATTTTTTACAAAAAAATTCTGTTAATATTTAACTTAAAAAGATACTGAATATTCGCAACAGTGCTATGGTCCACTTATCCGTGGGCTGTAGTTTACAATGGTGTCCAATATAATTAATAACTGCTAAATCATTAAAATACAAGCCTCTTTGCAAAAGCTAATTATCTAAGCAGATTTGTGTAATACAAAGCTCAGACTAAACTGATTCAGCACTATTTGCAACTACATGCAGAATGATATGCAGAGCTGTAGATGCTACACACAGGAACATCACAAGATTAACTTTTGCACTATTATAATTAAATCTGGTGTTTAGGAGCAATAGCATCTATTCACTTTATATTTACAAGAGGTTTGTGGTATTTAAAAAGTTCTTACCTTTTCACTCTAATAAATCAGCATTCAAGGTGTAATTTGAACTCCCCTCTGTATATAGGATATTTTGGATGGTTCCGGAGGCTTCTTGTTTCAGTAAGACTCTGCTGCCACTTTTCAGATCCAAAGGTCAATTATGCCACAGTAACAGCTTTGTGTATTTAGATCTTCACAACCAACCAGAGAAGACCCTGCGTTCAAAACACCCAAATCTTCTGTGAAAGTCCACTGGGGAAAGATATAGGGGGAAAAAATTTGAATTTTATTAGATTTCAACAAACAGACTGAACGAATATTCCAGGCGATCCCAATTTATCATGCACACACAGACATGCTTCATTCCACGGCCTGAAGATTTGTCAACAGCAATCTTTTATCCTTAGCATATAAGCAATGATTTTTCCAGAGTACAAAGCACACACAATCACGTCTGCCAGTAAACATGAAAAGATTTGAAATTTAGACGGCAGATGAAAACGAGAGATGCTTTCATCTGAATGAATACTTGATAAGTAGCAGTAACAAAAGAGTAAAGAGCCAGATTAAATTTTCTGTGGCAAAACCGGCCTGTTCATATCAACAAATGGAA